GCCAGAATGTAGGTCACCCAGTCAGAGACCCAGGTTGAATTGCAAGCAGCCCATCCCGGCCACTTCCTGCCCGGCGTGGAGGAGGCGCTGCGGTTCCTGCACCGCCCAGCCACGCCGTACGACGGGCTCTGAGGTAAAATGGCCGACAGTGACAGAAAAGCAGAGGATGGAGGTGAGGGAGGATTAAAAAAGAAACTGGATTGCAAGTTTGCTGCCAAATGTCTCACTTGTGAGACAAAAAGCAGAGCAGATCAGTTCGGGAGGATGGATACGAGTCCAGATGAAAACAGACGGACTGAAGCTGGACGGCGTCACAGGAGTTTTTCTGTAAATCATCTTTCATTGCTGTGATATAATAAAACATCACCTCGTGTTCGACTGCTGCTCTTTAGATGTGAAGGGCTAATTTGGAGCTAATTTGGTAAACATGGAGATCAGTTTTGAGGAAGGAAAGTATCTGATAGTATGCAAACCCACAATTTCACCCCCATTAAAGTCCATAAAGCACTCATAACGCCATCTATGAAACATCTTCGATGCCTGACCACTTTCTGTCATTGTTTGGGTCGACTGTCAGATGTATGGGACAGTAATGCAGTCGACTTCACACACCTCCATCACAGCTGTGTCTGTAGATCACAGCCAAGCCGAACCGTCTCCTCTCTAATTGTTTAACTTTATTAAACCTTACATTTTAGATCTCACTCATATTTATTATCCCAACTTATATCGGTTTGGCTCCTGATTTCCATCACATTTCAGTGCTTTATTGTGATTTGACAAATGACTGATAGGCAAATTAGCAACACAAACAGAAACTTTTATTGTCATATACATAAAATCATCTATCCAGAATGATATTTGTTCATTTCTATTTGATGTTGCTTGAATCGTATTCTGGGAACAACGGGGCATCTTTCCTGTTGCAGTTAATTTAAAATAGATTTATTAAATATTAACCAATGATAAATGGTTAGATGTGGGGGTTTTCATATTACCAATTGTAACTATACTCTTACAGTATCCTGCAGTCTTTGAATTGCTCGAGTTTTATACAGTATTGCTCAGAAATGTCCCATGAGAGACATTCAGTGAAACAAATGGAAACTCCAGGTGACAGAGAGACGGAAAGAAGGCAGGAAAGAAATAAACCAGATGCTGAGAGAGAGAGAAAGGAAATGAACTAAATGTGGTTTAAAGCAAGGGCGTAAATCCCATCTCATTTTTGGGGGCAGGGGGGGGACCATAAACAGGAAAACTTCTTAAGACTAATTCTGGGGGCATCAGCAAAGTTACAGTAAAATGTAACTTAAAATTCAAGCTGCAGGACCAAAAATGACTTGTGATGCACATCAAACGCTTTTTATTCTCAGTAAGCAAACAGTTGAGAAATAAAAGTGAAATTCAAATGTTGCTTATATGTGAGTTTTGTTCAGTTTGACTGATCTAATCTCTGCCGCACCTTTACAAACATTTAAGGTTCTAAGTAAAACTCCTTTAATGAGAAATCCCTCTCTGTAAAATTCCTCATAAACATTGACTCCCAATACGAGTTATGGCCTATTTAATTTATAGCTTAACTTGCTTTATTTTTAGGCCTTTTTTAGTTTTGTCATGTCATGGGTGACAGAGAGCAAACAAGTACATAGAAATGAATATCTGGGGAGTATCATAACTTAAACATAACATTTAAAGCACCAAGGTTTAAATAGAAAAATATTCAGATTTGATTCTGTGGTTTTAAAGGCTCCAGATCCCACTAGATACAAGGGTGTTAGAAAATGGATGGATGGATCTAAAGGCTCTACATTGAAGACAGTTCTCAGCTCCCAGACTCTAAGCTGGGCCCACTTGCTCAGCCCATCTCTCCCTTTTCAAACTGTTCTAACTAAAAGTTAAAGAGCTAAATATGAATGTTTGCTACCTTTGACAAAAAAAGTTTAGGTCTATAACAGCAGTGTAGCAGTTTTGCTAATAAGGCAGTTTATGATTCAGCCAAAGTAAGAAAATAACAAACTGCGGGCTGATTTTTATTGTTAATGTGTTTCACTCTATTGAGCAGTGAAAGTGAATAAAATGTTCACATGTCTTTTGCTGTGAGTATTTACTTGCTGGAGGGGTTTTGGTTTGTGCTACAGAGCAACAGCTAACAGCTAGCTCCTCACTTCTAGCCTGTGCAGTTCAGCGCTGCTGTTGCTCCGCCCACACTTTGGACTGAACCATTGTTCTAATAATGGTAGGGGGGGGAACCTAAAATGTATTCTTATTTCTTTCTGAAATAAATGGCAGATTGTTTTTGTTATTTGTTTCTTTCGCCTTTTCATATTGATTTTATTTAATTGCAAAAGTTTTTATTTGTTATTCAATTGTTATTATTATTATTTTTTGGTCGGAGATCATTCGAGTCTTTTCCAAGAGTGGAGGGGTCCGGGCAGCGCTTCGCTGAGTTCACACGTAACCTCTGTGGGTTTTAGAACCGCAGCCCACCGCTTCTTTCCTGAGGAAGCAAAGTAGTTTCAGGTGGTCTGACCGTCAACAGGAACACGGTCCTTATTTGTGTCCGTCTCATCTGCGTGGGCAAATGGGAGGAAGTTGAGTCAGCCTGAGCTCAGCCAATGGGAGGACGGACTCATTTATACAGACTCAGCGAAAAAGAGTTTTGTGAAGAAGAGAAAAAAAAAACCCCACACATTTTGGGGGAAAAGAAAAAACTTAAAATACTTTGACTGGAATTTTTTTTTTATGTCTTCTTCATAGTTGGAAGAAGAAACTGTCATCATGAAGCTGCGTTTGAGCCGTTCTGAGGAATAAACCAAAAGTGACCAAAAGTTGTCCAGATTGATTAGAAACACCCCAAAATTAAAGTATTTATAGTCATTGGACCACAAATTCCCGTGAATTTCCATATTACACTCACTGTTAAATGAAACACAACTAAGAAATGGGTTTAATTTTTTGTCTTTCCAATAAAAAAAGTGTTTGATCCCCTGTAAAGAAAGCCATGTTGACTCCAAAAGTCACATAACTGTGAAACGAAGTCCACATAAGAATGCATGACCTCTTCAGAATGAATCAATAGAAATGAAGCTCTCAAAGTGTGGGATCAGGACGGCCATCAGAGAGCAGGAAACTCGAGATTTGTTTCTGGACACAACAAACAATATGCCACTGAAATGAAATGGGACGCCGAGCCACAGCCTCATACTTTCCTCTTCTGTTTGTAACTCTTCACTTGGAGTTTGTGGTTGTTTATTGCGCAGCCGGCAGCACATCAGGAGTTAAAGCGGAGAGGAATGAAGGGATGGAGAAAACAGAGAGCAAAAACAGACAAGACATAGTTGCGGATGGAAGGAGTGGTTTGAGGCCGAAGCTCATAAAGAGAATCGTTTCGCAGAGGGTGAGGAAATAATGGAGGCAGGGAAAAGCCTGAGCTTCGCCTGTCATCGTCTGATTCTGCAATATCTTTTCACAATCGGTTTCGCTTGATGGTTTTTAGCCATAAGTTTCAAGCCACCACACAAAAACTGTCTATACAAACACAAGCTGCAGCAGGCCCAGCTGAGGGGGGAAAGATGTTTCTAAAATACCAGATGCTTGGCCGGAGCACATTTTTCTGGATGCTGTTGGCGTTCCATCACTTTTTCCAGCTCGGCTCCTCCGACACAAGCCTCTGGCTCGGAGCGGCCCGCGGAGTAAACCGTGTCCAGACCGCTCCGCTGTGGGTCAGCGTCACGTGAGCGCCGCAGGAAGAACACCTGGAGTCAAGCTGCTGCTGCTGCTGCTTGTTTATTCATGCCACTCGGTCAAGATACTGTGATTTTCCTCATTGCAGCTGAACAAAAAGTATATTTTTCTTCTCTGTGTCTTCATTTCGAGATGTAAAGCACCAACATAGGCTGTCAAATGAGCTCTGAAGAATTACTTTTATGCATGGGCTCAATGTTTTTACTTAAGTTTGATGTTAGTGAATCGTTCACCTTTTGACCTTTGCAGTTTTTCCCCAGATTGATATCTACCTGGAGGATGTAAACTACTTTTTTCTCTCCTTCACCTCTAAGTTTAAGTAATGTAAATAATGTCAAAACTGCACCTGAGGTCATTTTAATTGAATCACAGAGCCAACATAGTTTAGAAGACACATTTTATTTTATTTTTTTAAATAAATTAATTAACTAATGAAAACAGTCAAGGTGATTTAAGTGATTTGATTTATTTTCTATTTAAACAAAATAAGCATGCAACATGGCTGTCCTTTAAACCATATAGGAATGAATGACAAACTATCTGGGACGTTTTTACAGCTCTGGAAAATTTTCAGTTTCTCTGATTTGACTTTTTAGAGGTAAATTGAACATTGTCCTTTTATTCTATCGGAATGTCTCCGAAATTCCAACCAATGATTTAGTATTTATTAGCAAAAAATGAGAAATGGTCGAATAACGAAAAAGATGCAGCGCTTTCAGACCTCAAATAATGCAAAGGAAACAAGTTTATATTCATTTCTAACTCATGTTATGTTAATGTTTTAACTCAGGAAGAGTTCAGAGATCAATGTTTGGTGGGGTAACCATGAGCTTTCAGTGGAGTGGGTTCTTCTTTTTTTAAGTGGATTCATTCATGTTGGAAGTAAAATCTGCTGGTTTTCTGGAAATCTGCTCTTTCACTTCTCAGTCCTTCCGTTGGCTTCGTTTTGTTGGAATAAGAAAAAAGAAAGGGAAGCCGGATAAAAACAAAACTGACCTTTTTCAATGCAGTTTTCCCTTTTTTTGAGCTGTTCATTATTTCTATAACCGCAGCAGTCTGAAGCAGATAAACGATCCGGGCGGAGCGAGAAACGTCCCCCAGCTCAGATAAACAGCAGATGTTGATCCCACACTGAGGAGGGAAGCGAATCAGGGATGGCGTCATTCCCCAAATTTGCTTTTTGTTTGTTTTGAGCTGTTAAAAAGTAGTTTATTTTTATTAAAAAAAAAAAAAAAATCACAACAAAAACAGACAAATGAAAAATCTCATTCCGTTTTATTTATAAGATCATCACAAATATCATCACCATTATCACTGTCATTGATCGCTGAGCGCCGTCGGAGCTGAAATCTGCCTGAACTCACATTTCTCTGATCTGATTGGAAGCTGGGCTTCATTTCCCTCATTGCCATGGTAACGCCTCTGTCCAGCAGGACACCTAATGACAACACATAAAACCAAAACAAAAACCGGACTTTCCCAGCACAACAACAACAACAACAATAGCAATCATATTTATAATGACAATTTAAAATGAAAAAAAAAATAAAATAAAAATTGCACCGTATCGTGGAAACCATTATTAGCTCATGTTTAAGAAAAAAAGCACTGGATGTTCAAGTTAAAGCATCACATTTGAAAATCAATTTTCCATCTGACTGCTTGCACTGAGTCTGTTTTGATGCACATTTTAATGCCTGAAGTTTGAAATGGGTTTTTACAATTTACAGAAGTCAGGAAGGATTCCTGAACTGTTTTATTTTATTTATATATATATTTTTAGACATTTTGTTTACTGGATCCATTTCATTTTCTCCAGCACCTCACATGAAGTCTGACCGACTGATTACAAAAGTTCAAGTCTGCATAAGTTAATACCAATGTCCAAAAGTGATAAGCTGCTACACACAACTCCATCAGTCCCATCAATCTTTACAAATAATAATATTTATCACAATGATGATAATAAATGAGCATTTTTATTCAGTAAAAAGAGAATGGAGTAATAAAAAAAAAACACGTCAGTATCAAAAAACTAAAAAAAAATAAAAAAATTAGTACCTTCTTTTTTTTTTCTTTCTTTTTTAATAAAGCTTCTTTTTTAAAACATTAATTGTTGGAAAACTTACACTTAAATTTTGGATCAGATACTTACAGTTGAAGCCAGATATTTATAACGTTTAATTATTAGTGCCTGAAATGAAAACGTTCCTCTTATGTCAGTTCTAATAAGCAATAATATTTATACTAAGTAGGTAATAAAATAAAGGGAGATCTTGGCCGTTAATCCAGTGGGACGAAAGTTCAGTCAGTGACGAAGAAGAAATATCTCTAGACATCGGCCAGGAATTTAAAGTTTGATGAAAGTTTTTGACTGAGCTCGCTTCAAAGTGGATTTAAGGAAAGTAAAGTAAGAGTTTTGAAACGCGATCGACCCGATTCAGCTCAACCGGGTCAGTCAGGAGGAATGGGACAAAATTCCTGCAAACTAGTGTGAGAAACTTGAGCAAGTCATTTATTTCGAATGACAATCCGAGCAAATCCTAAGAAAATGTATTTAATCTCCTGAAATGTAACACGTTAAAAACAGCAAACAAAAATGTCCCGCTTTCGGTTTATATAGTGCATGTAAATATCTGGTTTCAGCTGCATCTCTGAATCTGATTGCATGAAAAATACTGGCGTATTTTTGGTGCTGATTTTGTACTAACTGTCTCATTTTAAGCATTTTAGCATTAACTGTAAAGCAACAATGTGAAGATAAAATGTTTTGTTGCAGAACCTAAAGGAAAACAATGTCAAGACGTTTAACCTCTGAGGAGAGCTGAAGAGAAACAAAAGTAAATTGAGAGTCAGAAGAATCAGGCAGCAGTTCAGCTGGAGTCGTCAAGATAAAAATGAAGGAACGGGTCTCTGATCGTTTCCCTTGTTATGCAGGTCTGAATTTCTCAACACAAACAAGAACATGTAAATAGTTAAAATACAAATATACTTTTTCCTGATTTCAGTTTCATGGGCGTTTTTTTTTTCTTTCTTTCTTTTTTTTTTTTTTTTTTGTGGCACTTACAAACCTCCCAACATGTCGTCTCCCTTCGATGCCCCCCAGTCGGTCATCCTCTCCCCACAGTTGCATCGCTCTCCTCGATCCTCGCTGCGCTCTCGGTTCCTTCAGACTCCTCCCGTTCGTTCGCTCTGTCCCTCTTTGTGCAGTCTGTCTGTCCGTCGGGCCCCCGCTGCGCCGCCTACACCTTGTCCAGCAGCGATCTCTGACAGTAGAGGAGGCGTCGGGGCGTGCCGTACTTCCTGAAGAACAAAAGCGCTCCCAGCGTGAGCAGCACCAGCACCAGCAGGAGGAGGGGGATGACCACGCCCGCCACCCAGGAGCCGCCCTCCGCCTCCTCGATGATGATCACCGTCCGGCCCTTCTTGGGCTCCTCGCTGTCGCAGCCCATCCAGTCGCGCAGCACCGACTTGGGGTAGCCGGACTCCACCTTCATGTGCTGGTTGTTGAACTTCCAGTACTTGTTGGCCTTGTAGAAGTAAGTGTAAGCTGGAGGAGCAGGCAATGCAGAAGAGGACAAATCTTAATTTCCATACATTGCTCAGTTGTGAAAAGTCAGGAAATTGGTCAAATGAATTACAGCATCTTCATATCTGAGGAATATTTAGCTCATGCATTGACAGTAAAACGTCTGCACTCACATCCATCTCCACTCATGAATGTAGCTTTAATGTTATCTGGGGCTCCGCTCCACTTGCTGATGGGCTTTGGGTAGTCGCTGTGCACTCTGCGGGTCTGTTCGTTGAACCGGTAGTACCTACATGTGATGGAAACAACAAGCTATCAATGTAAACAGAAACAACCGCAGCAAATTAAAGACATGACACATTGAAGAAACAGCTGTTGTTTTTTTAAGGTTATATGAGTTTTAAAGGAGTAATGGGACACCTAGTGGCAAAAATGTATATTGCAATCAACTAAATATCATCCCAAAGGTTAACTCTGTGTCTGGTCAACTATTTTGGTCTTGATTTAGCCATGTGTTTTTGATCTTAATCATGCTAAATGACCAACACATTTTAATGGAGAGCCATTTTGTTTTTTTTAAAAAATATCTTCAAAAAGTTTGTGATGAGTTTTGTCCTGATTGGGTCTTTGGGAAGGAAACAGACCCACAGCTTTTTGAATCCACCATGAAAAGCTCAAAAAGCCAAGTTTTTATTACACTAGGAATAAGTCATTTACGTTTGTGATGGTAGTAAATCTGATGGTTAGTACGAATACTTGCTAACTCCAACTTATTGCTGCGGATTTCTAACAACCATTTTATACTAAATCTGACCTAAAACATGGAAAACCATTCAATGCTCCTACTTAAAGAAAGGTCGAAATTATTTAGCTACATTTCATTTTAAAGGGATTGTTAGGTGTGTCAATAATGTGCAGAGGGATTTTGTTGAAAAATTACATTTCAGGCATTTTTCAGCGATTGAGCAGCTGCAAAAAAAAAAGGATCAATTCATCAACAACTTTATCAGGGAGGGCAATACATCTGTACCGATGTATTATGTTCAAAAAGTGGAAATGAGGAATCCTGAGCTTAGTGAAACTTCATCTTAAGTTCAACAGAAGCAAAACTCACTGAGTTCCCTTAAAGAAGTACGTCTGTCCTGTTGGTGTGTAGAAGAGAGCGGCGTCGATCTTGTCTTTGGGGAGGCCGGTGCCCAGGTCTTTAATGCTCTTGGGATAACCCTTCTCCAAGGTGGACTCGCTGTAAACCCAGTATCTCTCACCTGGACACAAATGTAAACGACAACACAATTGTTCAACTTGCAATGAAAGCAGCAGAGGTAAGCTTATTCCAGGAAGAACTTACCCTTAAAGAAGACAAACTTCCCATCATCCCTCTCGTACGCGGCGTTGATGTTGGAAGGAAGGCCCTTCCAGAACTGACCGGCTGGCCTGGGATAGCCGGGTAAGACCTTGTCGTTACGCAGACGCCAAAACCACTTGTCCTGCAAACAGAGACACGAAGGTTCATTTCACTCCTCTTCTATCATCAGACATGTTGCTACAATTGTTTCAATGACGACTGACGTCCAAAAATAAAACAGAATAAATGAGCTGATGCAGTTTGAGGTTGCAAGGCAATGACTTCACTTCCTGTACCTTGAACACAAATTTTTCCCCTCTCAGAATGGCGATGGTGTCAAAGTGTCCCTCGCATATGTCGGGACCTTCGTCGGGTTTGTCAGGCTTGGACGGCTTTGTGGGACGAGGGGGAGGAGGGGGAACTCCAGATTTGGAACCTGAAGGGAAGATTTAGAAAGAAATGAGAAATAGTTGGTTTGATGGCAAGATATTTATACGCAAGGCTGGTTTTACGTGAAACATGACCGACAGGAAGAACTTAAGGAAGGAAGTAAAGTAAGAAAGGAGACATGGAAGGAGGAAAGGAAGGAAAAATAAGGAAAAAGAAAGAAAGGTGACAGAAGGTTGGATCAATTTAAGGAGAGAATCACACAAGGAATGAAGAAAGGAATGTCAAGGAACAAAGGACACAAGGCAGGAAGGACCCAAGCAGACCGTTTACAAATTGTTAATAACACCGGGGGAGATGAAAACAAGGAAAGAAGAAATTCAATATATAACGAACAAATTAGAGGAAGTGAGGAAGAAATGACTCATGGAAGTTAGAAAATTGTCTTTGTAATTCAGTCTGGAAATACAAATATTTTCCACGCTTCCCCCACCCCACCTCGCTTCTCCAAACCAGGGAAATACTGAAGTCAAACTCCGGACTGAACCCGGAAAGTGTTTTATTTTAACGCTTAATTTTCAGATCCTCGTCATTAACTCATCAGCAGATCATCCTGGAAGTGAACCACCAACCATAAATAGCCTGGATGCCGCGGCGGTCATCGTCCGGCAGCTGGAAGTTTTCTGTTTCAAACCACTGGTAGAAGGGGGCCATGATGGCTGAAGGGTCGTCGGAGTGCTCCAGACCCAGAGCGTGGCCCAGTTCATGGACCGCCACCAGGAAAACATCATTTCCTGCAGAGAGATAGCGAGACAACAGGTGAGAAATGCATAGGCAGATTCAGAGTTTCTAGCAGCAGGTCCTCGTTTGCATCTTACCTCCCTGATCCACGGTGCCGGTGGTCCACGGTTCGGCCAGGTCGAAGTGCGTGTCCCCCCCGATGCCGTTACCAGGAAAGTAAGCGTGTGCCAGGAAGCCGCCCTCTCCGTCGAATGGGGTGCTGTCGCCGTGAAAGCCGTCGGCGAAGGACAGCATGATGTCGGCGTACTTGTCGACCTTCCCTCTGATCTGGCTGAAGGGAATCTCTCTGAAGGTGAGCGGGATGGCGCTCTCCCAAACCTTAAAGGCCTTTCGGATGGCGTCATGCGTGGCTCTCTCGCCCACTTTGGGGGTGTAGTTCTCTATGCTGCCGGGGAGAACGGAGGAAAGACCGTTTAAGAACAAACCAGATCACTGACCTGAAAATGTGTAACTTGGTATTTGTTGGAGCAAAAGCCATTAAATCGTCTTCATTTGCACCAAAAGACAGTTAATAAAGGAGAAGGAAATAAGTGGAAATTCTGACCTGAAGGTGACCTCGGACTTGTCCCACTTCAGACCTTGCCTCGCGTATCTCTTCCTCCTCAGGTTGGTTTTCAGCTCTGGACCGAACTTGTCCGGGACGCCACACCGCGGCCGACTCATTGCTCTGGAAACATTTTAGTAAACGTTATATCTAGGTTTAAAAACAGGAGTAGCTATAAAGAAGAAGAAAAAACTCTTTATAGTTACATTTCCTGCTATTTGGAATGCAGAAAATAGCTATTTATCATTTTTGAAAGAAAAGCAAAAAGCCCTAAAGTATAAAGGACTTTTTTTTAAAAAAAACAAACAAAAAAAAAAAAACACATTTCTCTGAATGACTAAAAGTTCAGAGTCAGAACTCACTCTAGAGTGTTGGTATCTATGGTTCCAGTGACGGTCAGTCCGTAAAACCTCTGCATGGCTGAGATCGCCGTCTCAATCGACTGCGGTGAGCGGATGGCCTGCGCTCTGACGTCACCTGGAGGCAGGTAGCCATACTTCTGCAGCCACGCCTACGAAAGAGAAACATCAACAAAGAAGAAGAAAATAAACACTGATTAGACAAATTCTTGTGCACCTCCTTACATTACAAATTTAGACTTATTTCATTGATCTCAGTGGGGAAATTCATTGCTAAGGCAGCGCACACCACAGAAGGAGCTGCAAGTGAATGACACACATGGGCAGGAAATAAATTGCCTTTCCTCTTGGCGTTGGCTGAACATAAATACCTCAACTTGTGTTTGAGTCCCTTGTAAAATCATGAATTAAATGTTTTTATTTTATTTTTTTTAAATTAAATCTTACTAGTTACACCCAGAATTAAGAAACCATCCATCCAGCCGATGCAGCTGCCTGTCTCCAGTGATCACTGGCAGCCCGTCACAGAGCAACACGGAGACACACAGGACATGACTCAAGAAGGCACTTAAATATATATTTGTCTGACAAAACGGAGGAGACCAAAAAGCCTCAAAAGGCAACACATGACATTCGACAAGACGACGATCTGTCCGTTTGGGGTCATGATGTCATTTCTACAGCTTTGTGAAGCCACTGTATGCAGATGGAAACATATGATACGTTAACATGAACGACCAGCCAAACAGGAAAAACTCAATGAGAGTCCAGAAGGTTGAAAAAGTACCAAGAACAACATCTGAAGCACTGCAGGCCCCACCGGCCTCAGTTACAGTCAGAGTTCATGTTTCAACAATACGAAAGAGAGACGGAGTCAAAATGGCAGATTGAGGCCAAAGGCCCTGCTGACCAAAACAAACACAAAGGACACGTGGATCTTTTTGAACGGCTTGTTTCTTCTCACTCGACAGAACGTGACACAGATTAGAGGCGGTGTGATGGTCTGTATTCTGTTTGCTGCTTCAGGATCTGAATGACTTTCTGCAACTGCTGGACGAACAAATTCTGCTTTCTCTGCAGAGTTTTAATTATTTCAAACTGTAAAAGCAAAACGTACGCTGGCGTGTGTCACTATAAATGCTCACATAAAACAAACACAACATAACATTTGGAGACGCAAGTCAAAAAGTGCTCCAAATAAGTTGATGGCATCGATCAACACCAAGCAATAGTGTTTTTGGAATGCCTTGATCAATCGTCTTTTAAGCGAAAACTCCTGAAACATAGCAATTATGTGATTTTGCGTAAAACAGAAGGGCTGGGCCTCATAAGTGAGAAGCGTGGGCATTTGTCTGATCTGCCTCGGTTCTCAGAGTTTGCCTGAACCTGCTTCTCTCGGCTCAGACGAACATTACGAAGATGCTGGGAAACAAAGTGTTTGTGTCTCTGTGTTGAAATAACTGGTTAACCAACGCCAGCATATTAACTATGCTAAATTCCAACTCTTATTCCTTTCTTGTGATTCATTGCCCCGTTTACAAACCCTTTAAAGCGAAACCAGCTCCTAAAACGGCCCTGTGATGGATGCTGAACTCGTTGAGGGAAACTTTATTGTGGGTTAGAACGAGACAGAAGAACGAGAGCCAAATTAGACACACACTCTGTAAACACTGATGTCATTTTAGTCACCATGACCCAGAAATCTGTCTAGACGATCCTTGCCAAAGACAACTGGCCGCTCCGATGATGGAAAAAGTAACATTTCAGCAACATTTGAGTTCTTCAAAGCTTGACCTGCAGCTCGAGCTGCTACCATCTTTGTCTGCTGTCCTCTGTCGACGTGTCAGCCAAAGCCACAACTATTTGCGTTAGCACATTAAATGGTTAGCCCTCTCTTTCCATCGTTTACAGCTGGTGGTCTACCAACACACTGTAAAAGAAGAAGAGAGTTTAAGATTCAAAGACATGTAATTATCCAACTCCTGGATCAGTCAAGACACAGTTAGCTTAGCATGAGGGCAGGTCATGGGCAGCTAGGCTAATTCCCTTCACCCCCCTTTTTCTTAAAGTCTCAGAGAGAGATATTGTATCTGAATTTCTCCTAAAAGTAAAACACGGGGTTTAACGAGGGTTTGTTGAGAAAAAGATTTCAGTAGGACAGATTTAGCTAGGCTAAAGATGCTAACGACAATGCAAGGTCTTTCAACATCCACAAGCTACAAAACAGCAGACTTAGAAACTTGCACTTTATTGTCATCGCACAAAGACACGGCAGGGAAGTTGACAACAACATGTAGCTGCTCTGCTAACAGAGTAGCCGTTAAGAAATATACTGAAAAACTATAAGTGGCTACACACACACGGCTACACGGTGTAGGGACAGAAAATGTCTGTCTGTGTGTCAATAGAAGATCAATATTCTAATATCTATGTAAATATAGCTAGATGTAGAACTACCGTTTGCTCTGGTTACGGCTCCAAGTCTGTTGGGATAACTATCGGTTTGAACGACTGGAAATGCTTCGCTCGTGCCTTATTGAAAAATATTAAAATCTCAGTCAGATTGGATGGAGAATGTCTGAAAGGCATAAGTTTTAAAAGTCTTGCCACAGATCATCAATACTTTGATTTTGACTAGGCCACTCTTCCAGTATAGTTAGATTTTTTTCCGAAGAGTTGACACACATTTGCTTCTCTACCGCAAATTATCCAGAGCTATTCCGACGGATTCCTTCTTTAGCATCCTCTAAACCTCAGCTATCTCTCTTTTTCCACCATATGTGCTGCTTTTCTCTTCGGGCCCAGGAAACAAGGAAGGCGAAGCAGAAGGATGGAAATGTAGAAACCGACTCGGACTACCGGGCCGTAGAGTCCACAACCTGTGCACACACAGCCATGTGACAGTGGTGATGAAGGTCATTTAGACAGGCTGCACCACCTCCCCCCTCTCTCACCTCTCCTCACTCAGTCTAACAAGTTCTCCGGGATTTCTCAGGATTATTTAAGCACCTAGTAAATTTATTTCATCCACTGACTCGCACAAGTTTACTTTCTCTGTCTCCAGGCTGACTGCACCTAGTGTGCCCTGTGGCTCCAGTCTGATGACGTGTCTGCTTCTATAAAAACACCCTTCCCACAAACCATCAAGACCTCCACTTCTCTCCACTGCTCCCAAACTACTCTGCACACCGCCGCCACCTCCGGCTGGCCATCCAGGTATCCCAGCATGCCCGCCCCTCTCCCCTGCTCTGGGACTCCCAGCAGCCTCCATCAAAGCTCCTATTTATCCAAGCTTCTACATGGCGGCCTTTGTTGGCCAGATAGCTTACTACACGACCATCTGTGGTCAAAGGGCTGGCTGCTAGTTTGGTAAACACAACGCCGGGTCTTACTCTGACGTGTGGTCTAGATATATATAATGCACCAGCAGCGAAAGAAGACCAATCTGATGAGCAGATGCTACAAGTCAAGCAGCTACGATATGTATGGATCCTGTAGCGCCACCATGACTGCATTCTGGGAAGAATAATTCAGAATCATCCTTTTCTTGTCGCTGAGCAGGAAAACCTGAATCACAGCAGCAACAATGCACAAAAAAAAAATGAATTGTACAAAATAGAAGATAGGAAAGAATTCATGGAAAGGTGGAAAATGTAATTTGGATTAACGTTAAGGAATGTGTGCAGGTTTTCTTGTAAGACAGAACACAAAAAACAAGCTGTGAGGTCTAAGAAAGTAAAATCTGGTGCCTTTTACAGGTTGTTTTTAATAAAAAGTCTAATTTTGACTTGTTTCATGCAAAACATGCTATGTTTGCTTCCTGACGCTTTTGCAAGATGAGTAATTCTTGGGTGTGGACCGACAACAGCAAAACTGTTTGTCTGCTTTAGAAAGTGGTGTCCAACACCAGTCCACCATGTTGGGAGTCCTGTCTGTTTTATGTGTTTATTTGGTGTAGCAGAACTAAATCAATCCCATGGTTTATTACCAGGCATTTGAAGAACTTGTTGATGTGGAAAAGAGGGAGTCCAGTTGTGTGAACCAGCTGGATTGGAGCAGAATCATTTCTAAAACCTTTGGATTCAGAAACCCAACACTTAGGATGCAAGTCAAACAATATACTTATATTTACACAAACGTTTGTCTCACTTATAAATTCAATACAGGTGGTTTATTATTTAAACCACCATTTTTTTCCCCATTTGCCTAAATATATCATAAGCAACCATAAACAGATATTGTTTATTAGTTTGTTATGCTTCCAGAACTACTGCTTATGAAACATGTCAAAGGTTTCATTCAGTAGCCACTTAAAAATGAACACTAAATTTAGGATGTTGTTATTTGGGCAAAGTCAGTGTAAGCATGAAGGAAACTATTGAACTGATTGTCGCTACATGCTGATCAACTTAATCTAACAAGATTGTTTTATAACTAGTGTGATTGATCTGAATGAAATATTTCTGTACATAAATTGAATTTTGTGTTTACTATTTTTGTATTGTACCTTTAGACATTTGCATTGAGTATTTTAAAAATGTATCAAATTTAAATAACATTTTTTTTAATGGCATCAAATGACACCATGGAAAGCCTTATAATAAATATAATAATCAGTGTAAACAGTGAACAACTGGTGCTTTTCTGTTCTATATAATCATGTTACAGACTTTTAAACTTTACTATACATCATTGTGATTCTGTTACTCAAAATAATAATTCAATGGAAATTTGATACTGACGAGTGTTTCATCATTTTGGCTGTTTAGACGCTAACAGGCTAATTTTACTGCAAGTTCACTACTTATCTATTGTTAATGCATTCAGAGTACTTCAGCAACATTTTATGACAGAAAAAAATCTCAAGCATTTTTGTCACCAAAGTAACAACAAAAATTTGCCCCCTTGTCCAGCATTGATTGGTGCGATAAACCAACGTCGCTCCACCAGAGTGGCATCTTTCACACAAACAAGCTGGATGTTTCCAACAGGTCTACAATTAAAAAAGAAAAAAGTGAAAAAAACACCAACCCTGAACCACCAAATTGGTATTGTGACCATGATGTCGTGCATGACAAATGTTATTCCCCCGTTGGCTGTCAGCCATCACAGGACCTGCAGGCGGGCGCTACGCCGCTCTACGAAATTACTCACATTCTTATGAGAACGGCTTGTTTTCCTGAATCAGAATAACACAAAGTCAACCACAAGTTCCTGCAAGTTCTATGAATTAAAAAAAAATCCCAAGCACTTTTATAGGTCTTACTGAAAAAGGCGACACGTGGGAGTTCGCCATTTGTGCAAGAGGAACCATGAGAATGCGACTGGAGATGAGATAGAGATTAGGTAAAGGCTTTTAAGATTTCTTTTTTTCTCCTAAATGCCGTTGAGAAAACAAGCACAGACAGGGAGAAGATGATCCAAAAGACAGATTAAAGGCGGAAAGGCGCAGAAGTAAGAGTATTTTAAGGAAGAGTGGACAGAGACAGAGTTGGGATTAGTGTTTAAACTGACTCAGTTGTTCCTCTCTCTCTGTGCCAGTGGAAAAAAACCCACAGGATTCAGCTCATGAGTGCCCGACTTTTATATTGCCCTCGTTTCTTGGCATCGTTCGGCCAGTTAGCACTCACATCAACACTATCCAACATGGTTTCCAGTTTATATATGTATATATATCCTGGTCAAGCTGGTCAAATAGTTCAGTCTATTTGATGATTCGTTCCACATGATGCGCAACTGGAAATATTAAAAATACCACAAAAAGTCGGTTTATTGAGTCTCTGACCTTTTCACACAAATACTGCATTTAAACATAAAGAGATTTACCCTTTAATTCACTTTATGGAATGCCTTTTTAAAAGAAATACACGTACTGATTTTTTATGTACTTTCACTCAGTTTCACCATATTCCATCACAAAAACTCTTCCTTTTGACAAATATTCAAAAATATTCCAAAAGTAGATTCAAAGTGATTCAATTTAAAGAAATAGTCTTAAATTTGACCGCTAATTAATTTGATTTTTCTGTTAACAAATTGCTGTAGTTTTAAAGTTTTGCTTAGAGTTTAACGCCTTTTAACGATGTGTAGCTTCGCTCGTGTGTGTGTCGTGTTTCAATGTCATTTTGAGTGATTCCCTTGTAAATTTGATTTTTAATTTCTCTCTGTCTTTCCTGGTTAAATAAAAAAAAGACATGGTGGGGAGAAATAAAATGAAGATGTGAGCTGTTAGGAATTTCCCCTCTGTGTGACTCTATTCGACGGTGCTTTATGGCATTTCATCATCACAGAACAACTACAAATAACTAATATTGCATTATTACTGATACTGACAGCTAGAATGTTGCATATGTGTAATAAGCTTTTCGCCAATATGTATTTAAACACACGAAAGTGGGCGTTACATATTAGTATTGGTTTCACAAAACTTCATTTGAAATGATCTATGTTTGTTTTTTTGCGTTGTATGAAAAACGCCAAAAATAGCACTTTAACACATCGGTGATTTCTTTTGGTCAGTAAAATCTTAATAAAGGAACAGAAAGAAGAATGAGTGAAATGATGACCTACATGTGTTTAGTTGACTTGATTATTATTCAGCAAAGGAAAAACCTTCCTAACAGAAACCTTCCAATCTGCTTCTACAAGCTGTTATTTAAAGTAATTTTCTATAATTTACTCGTGTTCTACTGTAAGTAAACGCGGTTATATTTCTGCAATAAGCAAAACTTAACCGTAAACATTTGTGCAGTTACTTTAATTTGATCAGGAGCAAATGCACTATGAGTTCAGAACCACAATCTGTAGAAATAGGAAGCAATATAAAGACTTTGGAAATCGATATATTGCTAATTAAATGTCTGATTATTGAGAAATAAATTTAAAAGCGGAGTCAACAGACATTTGTTGTTAAACCAGCGCACTCACTTCTTGTTGTGCATCTCTCTGTCCTCGTCAAGCAGTGTGTTATTCTAGAAACTGAAGCAACTGATGGATCATTTTTATTTTTCAATTAGGACTCACTTAGACTTAATTTGGTTTCAGATTTGTGCATTAAATTATATCTATGTGCATTTAGGCCAGATGCTGCGTCAGCAGATCTGGACCACTGATGCAAACTCAACCAGCTGAGAACAAAAACCCAAAACCCCCTGAATGCAGCTTTTAGTCAAAAATCACCCAAGAATAAACGTCTAGATATATTTTTCATGTATCCATGCTGGACCTGATCCCTCCTCCCCCAGCAGCTCAGATATTGACGTCTCTTCCTTGAAGTGCATCGGTTTCCAATTAGCCCAGCTCCAGATGATTATTTTCACAAAGTGACAGCAGCTGCCTGTCAAATCAGCAGGCATCAGGCCCTGAGCAAAGCTTTCCTTTCATGCGACATCACCAGTTGTGATAAAAGCAACCCAGTCCAGATGTGGTTTGAACAAATCTCCTATCCCAAGCCGGGGTCGTAACACGTGTCTCCAAATGCTATTAAGAAATCTCAAAACCTCTTTTTCTAGCCAGAAAGCAAAGTTCCTGCCGTGTAAGACGTGTTGTTTTCACGACTGACCACTTCCTTTGCCCACCAGCTCCAACTAAGCATTTTATTTAAGTCGAGAAAGCTTACAAAGGCAAAACGGGTGAACAAAAACAGATGCTGGAGAAACCTTTTTTTTTTTATTTTCTGAGAATCTTAAAAGCTTGCTCTCTCTCATGGTGGCTCCTCCTTTTACTCGGCCTGGATTAAGCGTGTCTGCTCGTCATAATGAAGTCAGAGAGGGAACGTCTGATGTTGAGAAACACAGATAAGTCACGCATCTTTTCTGCCACTTCAGCTTTTTTCCCCCCTTAAGTCTAAATTAAGAAATTTGTTCCTTCAAAAACAGTTAAAAAAAAAGAGAGAGAGAGAGAGAGAAAAAGAGAGAGAGAGAGCATCACTTCCCTTCAGCTGAACATTTATTTTAGCTGAATTGTTGTGTTGTCGTCGTTTGGTCCAACCCAAACAGGAACGCATCTAACTTTTTGGATTACAGGTTTTGTGCAATGACGTAATCCTAAAGTCATAATTAAAGCCTATCTTCATTCTGCATCAACGCTGAGTGAAGCAGCATCTGCAAACAACAAACCCCATTCTGATCTGATTCGTTCTTGAAAAAGAAAAAAGAAAAAGAAGCAACAAAAAAAACACAACACATTCCCTCCAGCGTTATCGTCCCTCAGAGGAGCTGTGTTGGTGCAAGGCCGGCTCCAGGTGCCGTCCTGCAGCCCTCAGCTGCGTTGTTCTCCCCGCTGTGTTTACAGATATTCATCAGTGTGTTAGTGTGTGTGCTGCAGGCCTCTTGTAAACCGGCTGACTTATCCACCTCGTCTGGCTTGACTCACACGCCAGCCGCTTGCGGTCAGTGACTAAAGTCTTCGTTGGCTCTTTCATGCATCCTGTGTCCAGCAGGAACTGCACAACATACGTCTGGTGATGTTGATGCTTAATTTGAATTTTTTTTGTTTTTTTGAGGGGGTGGAAATGGAGGGATATGCAGCAAATGAAGTGTTTGGTTTGTGAGATGGATTGTTGTGACATGTTATTCCTAATTTGTGCTGAATGCTGCATATTTCAGCAGAAACAGCTGCCAAACACTCCTCCACTGATGCTGACCCACTTTCACGTTTCCACATCCATCCATCCATCCATCCATCCATCCATCCATCCATCCATCCATCCATCCATCCATCCATCCATCCATCCATCCATCCATCCATCCATCCATCCATCCATCCATCCATCCATCCATCCATCCATCCATCCATCCATCCATCCATTTTGTGTTTAAAACCTGACCACTGTGGGCTGCATATTTACATTGAACTCTTGTATTTATTCATCAAAAATGTGCAAAAAAAGGTGACACTTTCATGAATGACTTTATGAATGCGATCATGAAGTGTCGTTCAGTAAATACTAACACTTTTAATGCAAAGTTGTGCGAAAAGTTGCATTAAAAGTCCATTAAAATTGACAACTTTGCATTACTTTTTCAATGCAAAGTTGACTTTTTATTGGACATCAACGCATGTTTTAGCACAACTTTGCATTAAAAGTGTCAGTATTTATCAAATGACACTTTATGACAGCAGTCATAACCATTCATGAAGACTTCTTTATGTTTATGTCAATCTTATGTACATCCCTATAATTAAATAATTGAAAAATCTGGTTGTTTGAGTCTGGAAAAATACATAAAATCCCAACAATATAACATATGTTTGACTTTATTTCTACTTGTGTACCTTATGAACCGGGAATGGCAAAACAGAGAACCGATTGGTGACGATCGGGATGCCCACAGTCATTTGCAGGAGAGATTACAGATTTAGGTTTATTGAAGGGGAACCAAACTGCAGCCTGGAGTCTCGATCCTGTATCCATATATTTGGACTGTATCGTGTTCACTTTGTTGCTTTGCTGTGAATTCGGAGCAACTTCCAGGCCTCCAGTTTATACAGTCTGGCAGATGAAACCCATTACACCCCTCCTCACACACACACACACACACACACACACACACACACACACACCACACACACACACACACACACACACACACACACACACACACACACACACACACACACACACACACAACACACAAAGCAGCTCAGCAGAGACTTCCTCAGAGACATTCAAAACCTCACTGAGTGCAAGATCCCAAAGAAAAACTGTAAATGTAACAGTTCACAGTTTAAAGAGAACATATGACATCTTCACTTACCTCAGCTTTTAGTACATTTGCGTTGACAGAGTGCAAGCAGAAGAGACAGCAGGCCAGGCCGAGCAGCTGCATTCTGGAGACTGCGAACTAGACTAAACCTCCCAGAGACACAAAGTTCTGGAAAGTAGCGCCGAGCTCCCCTCAAGACCCAACGACGATGGTTGAAAAAGAGAATAAAAATTTGGGGAGGGCGGAATAAAAAAAAAGGACCGACGTTGCGTCAAAACGTGGCAGGAAACTTTTGTCGACTCCGAGCGGACACTTGAAGCAACCGCTGCACAGTTTTCCCTGCGCCAAAAGCCGCTCCGCCGCAGGCAAAAACGCTGGGAAAACAGACGAGTCGCTGATCGACCTAAAAGCGTAAAGTGAGGCGCTGGAAGTGCCGCAGGTTGGCCTCAGCTCTGCTCTCTTTGGCTGCCAGCAGCTCGTGTGGACGCCGTCCGTCCACAGAGAGAAGACCCAGAGAAGACCGAGAGATGAATTTTCCCTGAAGGTCCTCCTCCAGATGTGCGCACTTCGTTTGCGCATTGCACGTTTTTACGGAATCGCTCTGTTTTTCTTCATAACAACACCCAGCAATGAAATGCTGAGTGAAACATTATATATAAATATATAAATAATGAATATTATATATTAATAACACTCACTATTAATAGCGTTTTCACTCTCATACTTTAATCAGTGGTCTTTAATTAGGTCAGCTGTGAAAAGACAAAATACATTTCCTATTATTTAGCAGTTTTTTGATCAATTTTCTCATTGATTTACTAGCAATGATGAAGTAGTACAGGAAATAATGTAACATAACATTATGTGTACATCATGTTTAAATAATGTTTTAGTTTCACACTTTCTCAAAGTCATTATGTGTCTTTAGCCATCTATAGATACTAAGTTTGTGTATTAGACCAGGCCTGGAAGAGACTGTTGTGCTCAGCCTTTAACTGCTTGCCTGATGTCTTTAAATGTTGCTTTATTATTTCCCCAGGAAATTGTTTATTTTCTGAAGAGCACCTCACAGTTTCAATGGTGTTTTGAAACTTTCCAACTTCCTCCCTGCCCCCCCATTTCTTCTAAATAAGCTATTAGTCATTCTGGTCTCACACTTCAAATTTAGTTTGATCACTTCACGGTGCAGATCTACGCAGATTAAGATGCCTTTTTTCTTTCCGTGCATTTGCAGACTGTAATCCGGCTTTTTGTGCTGATTTTGGAGCAATGGCCTCTTCCTCTCTGAGTGGCGTTTCAGCTTATATAAGTACAGACCTTGTTTCACTTTGGACATTGAATCTTTCTCACCAGCTTCAGACTATAACGTTGCAAGGTCTCAGACTGATCGACACATTTTGCACCAAAACACTGGGCTTCTTGCTTCCTGAGCAGCTCAGTGGTTTGACTTCTGCTTCTTTTTCGTGCTTGTAGGCTTGTTTGAACAGGTATGCATGGCACATTCGGGCACCTTCAGGTATGAGGTTACCATTTTTTAAGAATGAAGGAGATTCGTGGAGGTCCACAGATCTCCTCCTGACATCTTGATAGATTTCATTTCTCAAACAGAATACAGTGTTTAACATTTTCTGCATGTTTTATTCAGTATAAATATCTACATAAACATAAAGTTCTATCTAATATTTCGATAAGTAATAACAGATTGAGATGGATGTGATCAATCAGTATTTCCCTCTATAATGCATAAACAATGACATCATGAGAGCATCAATACATGAGAAAACGAACCAAGGGTTGTTTCTCTTTGACGGTTTTATTTTGTTGTTTGCTTAAAGCTAAAAAAGAAGAAGATGAAACAACAACAACAAAGTCCAATTTCTGTTTTGGCCACAAAACAGCTTGTATTTCAATTTAATATTCTGCATTTCGAAAAGGAAAACCAAATAACTCCTTATTTTGTTGTCATTACTGGTTTCTGATGGGAAAGAACAATGACCAAAACATGCCCAATTATTATATATAATAGAAAAAGGCAAAAGGTCGTTAGAAGGCAAAACAAAGAGTTTATATTTATTTTAGCTATAAGAAAACTAAAGTAAAGATGGATGTACTTCGAAAACCATATGGAATTAATAGGGAAGTAAATTACTACTTCAATACTTTGCTCATTGAAGTATTAAGTTTATAATCATTTCCATGAATGAAAATGACAAGACGCTTATCCGCGGTGACACTGACACCTGGTGGCGAGAATTCAGCATTTCACCGTTCACATCCAATTTAACCAGTCAGTACCGTCCCACGAAATTAACGGATGAACTATCAGTGGTTGCAGATATGTAAAAATTAAGAATTGGCCTTTGACTCTCACTAAAATGAGCCACACGTTTACTTTTCATGAATGAAAAGAAAGCCAGTTTGTGTGCGTCATATGCCCCGCCCATCCTGTGATGACGCGCGACACACGGAAGTAGCTCAGAACTTGACAACAACAGAGGCCCGCAGCACGGTAACGCTTTCGTTCCTCGTTTTTAATGGTTTTACTTCGTCCCTCCCGCATGTAACCTACATTTTGTGGTTTCTGTGGGTTCTAGAATGTTTCGTGTCGTGTTTTAAAGACCTGTCTTGTTGTTCTGTGTTTTATTAACGCGACTGAAAGGGCTGTAAAAAAGCAGAAGATGTTAGCAGCTAGAAGCTAGCTCGCTGTTAATCCTTGAATCCGAAACTGTTTCGTTAATCTCGCCTCACGGGGCAGAGTCTTATCAAAAAACACAAATGTCTGTAGGAAATTACTCAAACGAGACAGAGATTAGTTATATTTTAGAAATAGCCACGTAGAATGTTTGTTACGGGAGGATTTGTTCACGGAAATTGTGTAATTTTTTTTTTTTGGACCGACGTTGTTGAGTGGATTAAAGGAAGGAAGTCTCTGTGTCTGCTGGCTGCTAACCAGACAAAAATAACCTGTTTGTGTCGTGGGCGTGGAGAAAATATCGTCCTATTTTCATTTATTGCCTAAAGCTGTTAAATTACCTATCATTACACGCTCTTTATATTTTCAGTATTTCCAGTATCTGTGGGTTCACAAATTGATTTATAACAAGAACTGTATTAACTGAAGATATGACATATATATAAAATTCAAAAAAAATGTTTTTTTTTTGTGATTTTTTTTAGTCATTTGTTTTTTTGACTGAACAAATTTTATTTTTTAACATAAGTGATAATCAATTAAGCCTAATATATATATATATATATAGCTTGTTTTTCAACATTTACTCTTTGGAGGCTCTCTGAATTATTTTCAGCTCTGCTGTGTTTATATAATACTCATATTTAATTAATTGTTTTCTTTACATCATAAATATACAACTCAGTCATTCCAATGCATGTCTTGAACCTAACTTAATGTGAAAACAATGCAGTGTTATCTATAAGCACCTTGTTGCATCACACTCCCTAGTTTTGTGCTTTGCGCTAGTATTTTGGAATATTTGTAATGAGGAATGAACGATATGATGGTAGTAGATCACGTTAATGATGCCAAAGCATATTCTGTCAATTACTATTCATCAGAAATGGGTCAGTGTTTTCCTCTCCCTTTCCTTTAGCTTCATAAATTACACTTTTTGTTGGAAGAGTTGATTTTCCTTGAGTGTTTTTGTTTACATTTTTATTTTAAAATAGTGGCTTTGGCTTTAAATTGTAAGTGGAACGAGTTGGCAAAATTGTAAAGCCTGATTTAATTGTTTTCCAAACTATTCTTGAAAATAGTTTGAAAAAACTATGTGTCTTTGCAAAAGGAAATGATTTAATTGTAAAAGTCTGGACATTTCTGATGCATCGTCGACATCTATTTCTAAAACTCATACTTGTGATTGTTCAACCATCGATTTTGTTAAAATATGTTGCAGCATATTCAGAGAAAATGTCACTTCTGTTTTGTTTTTAATCAGGTAAACTTGTATCCCTCCATCATGCCTCTCATGTATGCTCTGTTTTTTCCTATTTGCAGGTGAAGTCTTCCTGAATCTGTCTCACCCTCTAAAATGGGACTTCTCTGACATGTTTTTAAATTTATTTTTAAACCTTCCAAGTTTTTTTTAATTCATTTTAAACACGAAGAGCAGATCTGCAGCGATGACAGTCAGTCACACATTGTCTGTGCTCGTCATAATTTCCATAACAGGTGAGTGAGGTTATGAAAGTTATTTATACGCTTATCAAAACTATCAGATTTAATGCTCTGGTGTTTGTTTGACTGGTTCTGTTTTTGCTTCTTCCCCTCTCAGCATGCAGCCATTTTGAGCCTGCTTCCTGCTTTAGTAAGTACATGAGCGACCCACAACAAATTCATGGTTTTGGCTGGATTTTTAAAAATGTTTTTTTTTATGATTTTTTTTTTTAATTTATTTGTTTTTTTGACTGAACAAATTCTCTATTTTTAACATAAGCGATAATTAATAAATTAAGCCTAAAATGTTTTCTATTATTTTAATGATATAAGAAAGCCATGTTTGTCTAGCTTCATTGATTAAATGATATAAAATGAGATAAAAATGGAAAAACATGGCAGTGATTCTTAGTAAATCCTTCCCCATTGTACTCCTCTATATAGACTATCTGTCTTTTTCATGGGTTGCTTTCCATAACATATTTATAACTGTAAATCTCAATTAAATTTTATTCTGGTAATGTTGCTGTCTGAAAATTGACGAGTGCGTTAATTTAATGTTCTGTTTGGCAGCCCCGTGTGGGCGCGGCTCCCAGGTCATCGACAGTAAAGTGGGAGAGATCCGGAGTTCTGCGTACCACAGCTGGTCCTACCACTTTGGAGTCATCTTTGACTGCTGGATCATCAAAGGCTTGGAGGATGAGCCCATTGTTCTCAGGTACTGATGCTGACAAGGTTCAGTTTTCTTTCCGTCAATAAAAAACTTCAGCAGAGCTCAGATAAATTAGATTATCGTTGACGTGTTTAAATACTTCAGTAAACTCATTCAAAACGTGAAATGCAGAATGATGAGAGTGATGCATTTCAAGTTTCTATTTCTCTTTGATTTGATGATTATTTTACAGCAAATATAAACCACAAATTCAGTTTTCCAGAACATTGGAACATTACATCATATCAATAAAAAATATCAATTTCATTGCAGCAGCGGTTATCTGTGTTTCTTGTGCACTCCTTGAGCGCCACAAATAAAACCATATTTCATGTTGCATTTTGTCTTTGAAATGTTTCTGTCCTGCCGGTTCAATGACTTGAGCTGCTGATAGATCAAACTTTGTGTTTGAGGTTTTTGCTAATTTGCCCTTTCCTTGTTTCCACATTCTCCCTCAGCTTTACTCAGTTCTCTGCTCAGTGTGAGAAAGAACGGCTGTCCATCAGATCCTCGTCCGGAGGACAGCCGCATGTCCTCTGTGGCGGCAAGCTGCCACAACCGATGGAGTTCCCGGGGGGAAATATTACCCTGGTCCACCAGTTTTATCCCCACTCCTACCCCGTGTCGTCATTTATACTAAACTTCGCCAGAG